TATGAACTGTTATCACATAAAGCAGGGGCATGGAGACAGAAACCTGGGCTGTTTGCCTAACTAAATAATTTTTATTAGTTTTCTAACACGTACTGAGCACTCCCTCACTAAACTCTGGACACTGATTATCTCTTTAAATTCTCAATGGCCTTGGGTTGGGTACCATTTCCTTCCAATTGTACAAGTGAGGAAACCACGGGGGCTTAAAGAGGTTGGGCAGATGGCCCAAGGGCACAGAGCTAATAGGTGGCAGCAGGAGGATTTGAACCCAGACAAGTAGAGATATGCTATGCTGCTTTTGATTGAAATGTGATGCAAATATTAGAATTCTCAATTAAAGTGATAACTGGGCATAAGTTTAAGGCAGGAGAATCGTGAGTTCAAAGCCAGCCTCAGCAACTTAGTGAGGCCCTAAAGTCAACAATTAGCAGAGTGCCTTCCATATAGGAACAAACATTGCTCATGTTTAAGACCATGTCATAACCCACAGCATGAGGACAGTTTACTTAGTCAAACCAACAAGGAAACAAATATTAACTGTCTTTCTGTTGCTATTGTTGATGGACACAATCATATAATATACACAAATACCTGACATCAGCTGGTTGCAGACAAATAGTCTATAATGACTGCTACAGCTAAGAAAATACAAATTGTTTTTGAGCAATTGGGATAGTGCAAATAAATAACACTATTCTACCTAAGCAACATCAAAACAAATTGTTAAAAAAATAAAAATTCAAGTAGCTATAATTATAAATAATGAAACCTTGGAAATGATTTTAAAATTTTCATTTTAGTGTTTGAAATTATAAAGAGTCAAATGATTCATTATAAATTGCTTTAAAAAAGTTTAAAGTTCAGCACCTATACAAGTGTCTTATATATAGTAGGTGTCCAATATATTAATCTGGAATGAATGACTGAATTCATTACTGTGCTTTTAAAATCAGACATTGTCCTTTCATTATGTTCAGGATATTTTTATATTAATTCCACAATGCAGACTGAATGTCATTTCCTTATTGATAATGGTTTTTTTACAAAGAAATTCCAGGATTTCTAGTTCAAACAAAGGAAATGAAACAGCTATCATCTTGAAAAAGCAAAAAGTATAACTGGCCAAAAATAATGAACAGAAATGAAGTTTTGTTCTTTGCAGTGAAATATGAAGGGTAAAAGGAAGAGTAGAGTCTTCTAAATATTTTTATTAATATTGGAGAAAATATAAAACTATCCTCTAGGCAAGAGCATGAAAACACTTGGCATAAATGAATGTGTTTAAGACACTGTAAACTATGAAGAGTAAATATGTTTCATAGTATATATAATTAGTATAAACAGATAAACAGACCAAGAAAACACCTCTTTTTCAAAAGCACTTTGGTGTCCTGGGTTATCCTGGGGAATCAATATTGAATTCACATGTACTCAAAAATAACTCTTCATTCTTTAGATGAAATTCAAAAACTAATATGAGCAGGGCATGGTGGTGCATGCCTATAATCCCAGCGGCTCAGGAGTTTAAGGCAGGAGAATCGTGAGTTCAAAGCCAGCCTCAGCAACTTAGTGAGGCCCTAAGCAACTCAGTGAGACTCTGACTCTAAATTAAAGAACAAAACAAGGCTGGGGTTGTGGCTCAGTAGTTAAGTGTTCCTGGTACCAAATACAAAACAAACTAACAAACTAATATTAAAATAAAACCACAAGTTACTACTTTATTTCCATATGATAAAATAGATTAAATCGACACTGACACAATTGTTCAGCAAATTCTGTTCTGTTTAAAAGGAAAATAACTGGAGAGAAATCTATGGAAAATAGTTAAGATTTCTAGTAACACTTTTTTTTTTTTTTAACTTCATTCCAACAGTACTGTGTCCTTTCACCAAGAGCAAATCTAAGGTTCCCCCACTTCCAACCCCAACCTGTCCCACTCATTGGGGAAATAAGTAGCATTATCTACCAGTACCTAGGACTGCTCTTTTGCTTTTATCTCAATTTAACAACATGTTTTAAAAAGATGCAAGGTGTCTATAACCTTGATGCTCACCATTATCCTGAGCACCTTGATACAATTTGCTAATTGAGAGAAAGCATTGTGGTTTTTGTTTGACAAGCTTCTTTCCCTGGTTCTGCCAAACTGCAAAGCTGATGAGACAAATAAACAGGAACATGGTTCTGTACATCAGATAAAGTAAACCTTAAAACCAAACAGGGAGCTGCCTGATTCAATGAGCCATATAATAATTATTTTTTTAAAAGACAGAAAAACAGTAAATCTAAAAATAGTAAAGTGATCAAAACTGAGTGTGATTTGTTTTTTCAAAACCCATCCTACATTTGTATATCAATTCCATGGGTAAATCATGAGTTAAAATAACTATGTATACATATCAAACATACTAAGCAATGGATTTAGTTTTCATAGTAATTATATTATTTGTCTAAAGGTTTGGCACTAGGTGATACTAACAGAAGATAACAAAATGTCCACACTGAGAAAGTTACATATTAAACAGCCCTAGGTTCTGGCCTGGTACTTGCTAGAAGAAAACCTGCTAGAAGAAATCTGCAAGGAATGTAGCCTGATGCCTGCTGGGTCCATATGTGACAAAGCATTTTTAAAAATATATTTAAAAATGCATTGCCTTGATTTTGACTATGCAAAACTAAGCACCAATTTCTAAAGGTCAAGCATCTGTAAGTCAAACTGAAATCTAATAGTTCTCATGGTTCAAACCACTTTTCAGAGTACAGGAACTTGACTCAATTTATATAGTGGCATACATATATTTTTTATGCTTAAGAATGATAGAAACATTTTTTCCATATTTGCAAATATGTACAATCAATACTACTACAGGCAAAGCCTCGCCAGTAGACTATCTTTTGCTCTCCGCTTTCTTGTCTTTCTGAGAAGTTCATAAATCTATGATGTAGACACAGGCAGAAATGGCATAAATTCATGGTCTGGTCATCTAATCTGGGACAAAGTAATTTTATAAGGAAAAGAAATCACATGCTAAGACTCTAAAGGAAATAATTTGCATAATGTTTCCCAGAGTCAGTTTCTACTTTTTTCATTGTGTTAAAATATAGGCTTACTCCTAAAGAGACTAAGGAAGATTTGATTAGGGAATAAATCTTGAAAGAGTCCCAAAGCTTATTCGAAAGTGTCTCATTTCCCAAAATCTATTACTAAGGTTCCTGCCCCTATACCTAACAAACAACCTGGAAGGAAACTCCATCTACTTCACTTTCTGAGCTGTGATTTCCCCATCTACATAGTGAGTTCTTTCTGGTGCTTTCTCCCTCAAAGCTCCAGAGAAACAACATGCAAACACACGATGCATCTACCGCTGTACATACAGGTTCATCAACACCATGACTGGATAAGAGACAAGTTACAATAATCAGAACGAACGACTGTGACAGAAAAGAGTCTCTTTTTTAAAGCCCGCTTGAATTCCTCCCTAATGCTCCTATTCCTACACAGCTCCTCCTCAACCAGGAAGTTTAAAGGATCAGAACGACAAAACAGGTTGCATCAGAGGAAAGCAGAATGTTTGCTTTTCAGGGGCACTGCCAAATAAGCAAGGAGACCCCGCTGCGCAAAAGCGCATCATTAAAGAATACAAGCCCAGACTCTAGACACCCAAGTTAAGCTTCGTATCAGAGAAAAGTAAGTCATTGTCATTAAGAATAAGAAAAAGTAATAACAATTGTCACCACGGCGTTCCGTACAGCAGCTGCACGTGGAGTGGCTTCTCCTCTTGCCCAACCGCCCGCTGACTCCCCAGCTATCCCACACCGCACCCGAGTGGCGCAAAGGGGCACCACGCGCTGCGCCATGGGCGGGGCCGCCTTCCCGGGGCTCTGCGGGCGAAGCGATCGCCCCGCCCGCTCTCCGCCCTGCCCAGTCACCACTCCTGCCCGCCCTGCCCTCCAGCGCCTGCGCATCCATAGGGCGGGGCGGGCTCTACCGGTCTCAGGTGGCCGCTAGTTGCTGAGTGGTCGGTTTCGGTGGCCTCTGGGCACAAGATGCTGGAGTCTGGATGCTTGTTAGGGAACAGCATCCTACGGAAAGACGGGCGACCTCACTATACTTTTACCTGACTGGCTAGAGACCCAAGAAAAAGAGACGGAAGCCCAAAAGTCAGTTGATTTGAGAAGCAGATGAGTGGTGTTGGAGTTCAACTCTTCCTGTAATCTCTTAGGATACTACCAGGGAAATTTTCCAGCATCAAGTAGGGCATACCGCCAGGGAGCAAACCTTGAGCGCTTGTGTTCAGAATTATCTTTTATGGGTGAACAGCCCAATTGCGCAGCTGCAGGTTCCCTTCTAGGCTGTCAACGAAATAGTGGTGTGCCAGGCCTTCTTGATATTGCCCTGCAAACTAAACACACATTTGCGGGGTAGGAGGGGTGTGAATCTTCTCCCATCATTTCCAAAGAGTACTAATTGGGTTTACCAGCAATCCTGGGAAAGCCCATGTTATTTTTGGATTACATGGTTATGACCCAACTGTAGTGATCGAATTTAAACAAGCCATTGTTAGAGAAAGAAAACAATGAATTTGTCAATGTTAGATGTGATGGGTCTTCAGAGGTTTGTATATTGAAAGGATCTTCCACATATAGTGATAACATTTTGTAGTGAAATAAAAGTCATTTCTACAGTTCCGAAAAATCATTTACTGGCTGAAAGAGTATTGGTAGATTGAATTTTGTCCTAACTTGGGAAATTTCAGGTTGATATTGATTAACAATTGTATGTGTATTTTTAAATTGTGCATTAATTAATTATAAATCTAAATTTTTAAAGTAGAAGTTTTAAAAATTATTTTCTTAATCTCATTTTCTTATAAAGAAATTCTGCTTGGATTCAGTATACTATTATCACAGAGTGAGTTTCCTTAAGATATAATTTAAATTCTAATAAATTGCTTTTCAGCAACATGCTTAAAAACTTTTCAATTCTCCCTTAACCAATAGTTATGAAAAAACAGAGTTTATTAATCACTAAAATGCAACAATACCCACAACTTCTTCTTCGAAGACCTTTACCTCCCAAACACCCTAAGCTGCCTTTATATACAAAGAAAACCCATACAGGTACGTGTATTAATCAGATATGTGTATTAAACTTTATGTATTTTTCATAGAATTTCTCTGCCTTGCATAGCTCAGAATCATAATAGTTAAGGACAATAATAATCATAACTTACAGGTGTTTATTGTAAGATGATAACAACCAGATATTAGTTCTACAAGTATAGACATTGTTCCTTATTTGTGAATTTGGTAAATATGGATTTACTCATTGGTAAGATTTATTTGTATAATCTAGCTCCTTCACAGTCATTTGTGGATGGGTGGAAACATGAGCTGTGCCTCACACAGTGCTCCCCGCTGAAATGGAAGAGGCTAGTTTCTGCTCCCATTCTGTAAATAAGTGCCCCTTTCCTAGTCTATTTAGTGCTAGACTTCTTGAATTTTGGGGCTTTTTGTTGGTAATTTCATTGTTTAAAAATGACCCTAAGCATAGTGCGTAAGTGCAGTCTAATGTTCCTAAGCACAAGGAAGCTGGGATGTGCCTTACAGAAAACAATCCACGTGTTAGGTAAGCTTCTTCCTTCATGTACAGCACTATTGGCTGTATGTTCAATGGTAATGAATTAATGATATATATTAATAAATGTTTGTTTTAGTCTGCTTTTTTATCACTGTGACCAACAGACCTGACAAGAACAATGGGAAGGAAGAAAAGTTTATTCTGGTTCACAGTTTCAGAGGTTCAGACCATGGTTGGTGAACTCCATAGCTGTGGGCCTGAGGTGAGGCAGAATTATTACAGAAGGGCACGGCAGAGGAAAGCAGCTCAGAACATGACCACCAGGAACCAGAGAACTTATCTCACCATGGACAAAATAAACCAAAAGTCATACCCCAAGGGACCTACCTTTTCCACTTACATTTTACCTGTCCACAGTTACCACCCAATTAATTCGTACCAGTGGATTAGTCCACTGGTTAGGTTACAACTTTAAAAATCTAATCATCTCACTATTTAACATTTTTGCATTGTCTCACACTTGAGGTTTTTGGGGACACCACATATACAAACCATAACAATATTTAATATACTTTTATTTGTGAGAGGCTGAGGCAATAGGATTTTAAGTTCCAACCCAGATTCAGCAGCTTAGAAGACTTTGTCTCAAAACAAAAGAATAAAAAGGGCTGGGGATGTTGCTCAGTGCTAAATACCCTTGAGTTCAATTCTCAGGAGAGAGAGAGAGAGAGAGAGAGAGAGAGAGAGAGAGAGAGAGAAAGCACTGTGATTAGTACACAGCTTGAAATAAGACTTGAAGAATTAAAGTGGTATGGAATATGTTTAATTATAGAGGAGACCTTGGCAATTTTTTATGATAGAGGAAAGTGCTTGAATAGTAGAAATTTAATATACTAGAAAAAAATCAGAAATGATCATGGTGAGATTTGTCAAAGAAAAAAAAACAGGGAAGTATGGAATTGAGAAGACAGACATCATCTTGTTTGGAAAGATTTCTTGAAGCATCTCTTCTCTTTTTTTATCCAGTAAGACTGCCTTCCCCTCTTCTTCACAGTAGCCTGTACTTAATTCCTACCAACTACTTATCATTTTCCATTGCCACTGTTTACCTGCTTGGTTTCTATACTAATTTGTGAGATCTTTGCTGATAGTAAGGTTTGTGCTGTTGTACCCCCGGCACAGTGTGTACAACTGGCACATACCATAGGTGTTAATGTGTCTTCAATGAATTAATGAGAACGATAAGTCAAGCTGTAATCATCAAAGATGATTATATAAGGTCAACTTTGAAAGAAGAAAACTATGTAAATTGGTTAGTAAGAGAAGGTATTCCCTGCAGTGTGATTAACCTAAGAATGAAGTGATTAATGAGCAGCATGACATTTGTGGTTATCAGTAGTAATTTTCATAACTAGGGTTCTCATTGGAAAATGTCATGACACAGTAAGCTTGAAGTGAATCTATGAATCCAGATCACATGGATTCTTCTTCTCCTCTTTCCTCTTCCTTCTCCCCGCCTCCTCTTCCTCCTCCTTTTCCTCCTCCTTCTCTTTCTCTTCCTCCTCCCCCTCTTCCTCCTTTTCCTCCTCCCTCTCCTTCTTCTTCCTTCTCCCCCTCCTCCTTTTCCTCCTCCTCCTTTTTCATCTTCCTCCTCCTTCTCCTCCTTCCTCTTCCTCCTCCCCTCTTTCTTTCTCCCCCTCCTCCTCTACTCCCCTCCTCCTCCTCCTCCTTCTCCTTCCTCTTCTTCTCCCCCTCCCCCTCTTCTTCTCCCCCTCCCCCTCATCCTCCCGACCTCCTTCTCCTTCTTCTTCTTCCTTCTTTGCCCTTTCCCTCTTTCTCTTCCTCTCCTCCTTTCATCAGATTGAACCCAGGGCACTTAACCCCTAGCCACATCCTTAGCCTTTCTTATTTTTTATTTTGAGACAGGTTCTTGCTCAGTAAGTTGCCTTGGGCCTAAGTTGCCAAGTCTGGCTTTGAACTTGCAATTCTCCTGCCTCCTGAATCCTTGGAATTATAGCCATGCACCACCATGACCAACTACATAGATTCTTATATCTCAGTTATCACAGTGAAGATTCTGGTAATTTAGTGAAAACGTTGTAAGGCAGTATCAGGAAACCAAGGGAAAAGTTAAGCCATTGTGGACTAGGAGGACGGCAGAGAAAATGAGAAGGGAAAACCTATTCGTGGGATTTTTAAAAATCAGTTTTTAGAGATCAAGTTTCAAATGTCTATATAAAAGCACTTTATAAAATTACTGTCTAATTTTAAGATGTTATTTGTAATATTCTCACTTGGCCCATAATTATTTCCTGTTTGCATCAACAGTGAACAGTGCAAAATTTTGCTCTACAATGGGAGTCTAGGGATTTGAATTCTGGTCTCAATACCAACTAAAGTAATGTATGGCTTTAGTAAGTAATTTGGTCAACAAAACTTATCTTTCTATTCTGAAACAGCAGAACTTAATTTCATGTTCAGTTTTTAATTTTTTTTCACTTTAATCAAGATATGGATAGAATAGAAATCCATCAGAAAAAAGCTCACCTTTTAAGTGATTCTTATGGTGGAGATGGAAAGAGAGTGTGCCCCCTTAAGGTGGGGGGTAGCATTAGAATTTGGGAATTAGAAACTCTACAGTTGACACATCATTTGAATAAAGCCCTGAGGTCAGACTGATTGTCTGTGTTAAATGTGAAGAAGGAGGGATGGGAGCTGTGTGTTACCGTTGCATGTGAGCAGTCACCCAAAAGCTCCTGTTAATGCAGGGAGAGCGGTCAGAAGTCAAATGATTACAAGAGCTGTAACCTAATCAGTCTATCCTAGTTTGAAGGGACTCACTGGTTGGTTAGTAGAAGCAGGTGGGGTGTGGCTGGAGGAGGTGGGTCACTGCAGGTATGCCCTGGAAGGGTGCCTCTTCCTACAGCCCCTTACCTCTCTCTGCTTCCTGAGCCCTCCTGACCTGAGCAGTTTTCTTCTGCTGTGCCCTTCCTCCATGATGTGCTTGGAATTATAGCCATGGGCCCAGAGCAGTGGAGTTGGCCTTTTATCTTAGTCTTTTCCCATCAGTTCTGTTTTTCCAAGCATATCTTCCTACCCTTTCTAAATTTAATACAATTTAGCCTATTAACTTCTTTAGTTGTTTAAAATTTCTCAAACTTTATCCCCATCAGCTTGACAGAAGTAGCTAAGCAAACATAAACGGAAATGTTTTTAGGGAGAGAAGGGTGAGTGGTAAAGAAAAAATGTGAATGCTATGACATTATAGTTTTTTCTCTGACATCTTGATAAAAGCCATTCAACTTTGCTCTTTTTTTTCCTCTTGTATAGCCAAGACTGGTGAAATTGAGACACTCTCTGGAAAGTTCACTCAAGAGGAAACCACTCCAGTTCCAAAAAAACTTGCTTTACTTGATGTATCTTCAGAAGAACAAGCTCAAGGTCCTATCAATATCCAAGCTGACTCTTTGGATCAAAATGTAACAGAAGCAGTAACTGCAATTTCAACATCCACAAAATCTAGAAATGTCAGATCCATGTTTATTCCAAGTTATGCTGTAGTTTCAACTCAATTTTTCAAGAAAAATATAAGAAAAATGAAAAGAAGTTCAGAAAAGTCCACAACTAAACTACCCAAAGTAGAAAATATTATTACTGATAAAAAATTAGAAGACATTTTGGTTGTTTCTTCAAAGTTCCCTCAATCAGACGGTTCTTCGTTAGTTAACAAACGAAAGCGTGACTCTTCCAAAAGTGCAGTATTGCCAAGTCGTCTAGTCAGTGCCTCACACAAGGTAGTAACCATTAGTAAAGTGCTACTAGGGATTACTCAGTTTCCAAGAAACATTGTCCTACCAACACCGATTTTACCAAGAAAACCTCATCCACAGTCTATCATAGGTAAATATAATCAGAACATGGTATCAAGTAATGGGGACCAATTGGAGCAAAGAGGAGAAAGGAAACATAAAGGGTGCCCCTCCCCTGGGTGTTCAGGGTGGACAAATTGAATCACTTTTTGTGTTTACATTTAACACCTGAGCCAGAGGGCAAGAACAGAAATCTTTACCTTGCAGATCTACCAAGCCCAAAAGGGGTAGTTCCTCCAATGGTAATGATGGAGACCAGTAAGGAAATTCAAAGGATTAAAAAATATATATATAATGTAAAGGACCAGTGAGCAATGATTTAGAAGGTGATCTAGTTTTCCAAAGATAGGACACCAGTGCCATTGGATAGCTTCATGGATGCATTCCAATGGATAATACAAGTTCATTAAATTAACAATTATAATGAAGCCAAAACATCCTCAAGTGAATTTTCACAAGTATCCAAAAGCTCTCCCATTTTTTTTTTTCTAGAAAGTCTTGCATCAGAAAATGAAAAGAGAGAAAGTGTTCTGAGGCTACCTGAAGGTAAATGCTAAGCCTATTATCATTCTTTTGGAAATTGTATATAAGATTATCTTTCTATAAAAGTATTGGTGATTTTGTGTGTTTGTGTATGTGTGTGTGCAGTTCTGCTAGTGCTTTGGTCTAGCAGAGACAAATCGAAAATTCTCCTTAAACAAAGATTACACCGTTCTGGACTTTGCACTTATCTCTACCAACAATCTCACAAAAATAGTACAGGGCATATGATTTAGAATTATCAGGCAAAAAAGGAGAAAGTCAAAATGGTTAAGGACTAGCAGGAAGAGAAAGTAGTAGAAACAAACTCCTAAAAGTATTAAGTATGAGAATTATCAGGCACAGATTTTAAATAACCTGATGACTTCCAGTTCTGTCATAATTGGGTAGCTTCTATTGGACAAACTTTCCAGCCAAAATCAACTATTAAAGCTGCCAAATATACTTAAAATAGTCATTAAAGGCACTGGAAAGCAACCAATGCAGACTCAACCTGAGCCGCTACAATCTCTAGAAGGGCAGCCCTTGAGTTAGCTGGACCTATGGGCATTTGTGGTGTGGGAGAATACATATAGGTAGAAAGTGGTAGTTTTCATGGGTTGAGGAGATAGAAGTCAGACTTCAGAGTGGCCAGAGTCGCTGGGACTTGAGAAGAGAAATCTTGGAAAGGAGAAAAGTGAAGGGAAATGAATTTTTTAAAAAATTCTATACACAGATTCCCTTGGGGGCATTGGCTGATTTTGAAGCTGTGCATCTGCAGGATAGGATTGATAAACACAGCAGAGAACATCAGCTGAAAAGCCAAGAGATTTTTGCAGTTGCATAAGAAACAATTAATGGAGTTCAAGCTCTGGCCATGTGTAGGGCTTTTAATAACTCACTAGGCTTCTGATTGAAGATGCAGAGGACCTATGACATAGGACCTATGATGTAGGACTAAGGATGAAGTTCTAGGAGAAAGGACAAAACAAAAATACACTATAGAGTTTTAAAAACAATTCAAAAACCAATCCTTGATAAATCAAAGTGATACTTTCTGCCTAATGAAGAAAACCTGATACTTGTTAGAGACAGAATTATCCAGACCCCTTAAAATCATTCCTCCACAAAGTCTAGCATTGCTTAAAAAATCACAAACATTCTTTAAAAAAAAAAAGATAAAATGTCTGAAAACCAATAGAAAGAAACAAGGCAATAGAATCAGCTGCATAGCTGATTCATATATTGCAGTTTCAAACTGGAATTTTAAAACAATTGGTTTCTATGTAAGAGGGGGAAAAAAAGGTTGGAGAATTTCACCAGAGGACTGAAATTTTTGTTTTAAAAAAATAAGAGTCAAATGAAATTTTAGAGTAGGCAAAATAATATAACAAATTAATATTTCAATAGCTGCATTTAGTAGGAGAAAATACACGGTAGAATACTCCACCACAGGACTTCCCGAGCCCTCCCTTTCTTCCCAGTCTTTGTGTATCACTGTGATGTAAAGGAACTGTGGGTCTCTTCCACATCATAAGCCCAGGCAAGTCATGCCACCATTCCTGCATTATTGAGCTTCTTCCACTCTGATTTTCCCTCCTTGGAAAGTTTAAGGATCCTCAGGTACTTCAGAGATCTATTAGAGACTTTCTAACCCCTTTCTCTTTTCCACTCAAAAACCAGATGCTTGGGTTTAGATACTGAGGATGTATGATTAGGGATCAGGTCACAGACTTAGGTCTTAATACACAATCCTTTTCTTCTTGCTCCATTTCCCCTCACTAGACAAGGTATCACTATTTCATATTATGCATCCTTCTTTATTCTGGGGTTAACTTTCATATCTATTGATCTAAAATGGGCACAAAGTTTTCATTTTAGAGATTAAAAACAGAATTTTTTTGTAGTTCTTCTAGGATGCTTTATTTCCTCTCCCTGAAACAATAGCATAGAATAATTGAGGTTGTAAAATATGTTTCTGCAAATAATACTGCAAGAAATGTCTGTGAATATAAAATATGGGCTTTAAAAATATTTTTCTTTAGTTGTAGATGAAACAATGACATTTATTTATTTATTTGTTTGTTTTATGTGGTGATGAGGATTGAACCCAGTGCCTCACTCGTACTAGGCTAGCACTCTACCACTGAGCCACAACCCAAGCCCTAAAATAAGTTTTTTAAAATTTCAAAATATTTTTTGGCTGCACTTTGGTGTATATTTTTGTAGACCATTTTTGAAGGAAGGTGACCTCCAGAATGCTCATGATAAAGTAAATTTAAATGTAAGTGGTCTTTGCTCAGCTACTCCTGGGTTGTTTTTTGTCTTCTTTCCTTTCCTATGTGAAGTCTACAGTCTGAGAGAAGAGTTAAGTTATGTACAGCATTTGAATCATACATCCAGGTGATGTTAGGGGGAAAGTGAGATGCCGCTTGGGAGGTGATATCTGAGTTGTGTTGTCTTTTAATTTTGTGGACCAAAAGGTTGTTCCCTGTGATTTGTAGTAAAATTTTTGCAAATATTTTACATGTAGTACAAAAATACAGAGATTAATGGAACCTGACTTATACAGGTAAAAATCTGTGAGCATATCATTTTGTTTGAAAAACAATTGTGCTATTCACTTTTTTAATTTGTTTTAATTAGTTACACATGACAGTACAATGACCTTGAACAAAACGGTACTCATGTGACAAATAGAAATCAACTAAGATTGGGTAGAAGAAGGATAGGGGGCATTTCTTCCAGAAGAGGTGTATAACTTTCCCCATGGTGACTCAATCTTATAGCATAAACACCCTTCAGCTTTCACTCTTAAACAATAACACTTGAATTTGATGATCATTACTATCCAAAGTACATGTATGAAGACACAAATTGGTGTGAATATACTATGTATACAACCAGAGATATGAAAAATTGTGCTCTATATATACAATAAGATTGTAATGCATTAAGCTGTCATATATAAATTTAAAAAATTACATAAAACAAATAAATTTCATGTTTTATTTTGATTTGTTAATTTAGGTGGCTCTAAATATAAAAAAACAGAATCAGACTACGTTTTACACGGTGACGGTTTTAAGACTATTGAGACAACACATTCCGAAACAATAATAGCGATGGCCAACCTGGCTGTAGTAACTTGCCAAGTGCATGGAAGAAATGCACTTAACCTTAAGGTATTCTAGATCTTTCTAATGACAATATCTTATCAATCATTTTTACTTTCACTCTTCTAAGGGAGGTTAGTTTCCATGGTATTAAAGGAGTCTTTCCTATTGCAATAAAGATTTCCCAGGAACAGAGTCAAATTGTATCTCTAAACCTATCTGTTATAGTTTGCCTTCAGCCCCCCAGCTAAGTTTAAAAAGATGCTCAGATCCTAACAGTAATGGTGTCTTTTGCATTACATGGCATAATAAGAGAAACGGAACTCAGATTTATCAGATTTTTAAGTTAGCAGCAATTTTTGGCTTTTCAACAAACACAAACCCAATATGATGCATAACAGAAATACTTGGTACCATTTATTAAGCACTCACTATGTTCCAAGCCTATGCTACTCTTAAAACTTAGCATTCTGCAAAGTAGGTATTATAGTCTTTATCTGACATATGAAAACACCAAGTTTCAGTGAAAGTAACTTGCATAAGACTACACAGTAAGCAAACTTCAATTTGAACCCAGAACTCTTTGGCCTAAAAAACCTATATATTTGATAAAAACATCAACAACAAAGAACTACTAAAGACCGTTTTAAAATGCTGCTCATTAGCCAAAGTGAAGCATGCACTAGTTTTTCTGTCAGATTTAGTGGTAAATATAAGAAGTCCTAACCGAGAATAACTTACCATATAATGTGTTTTGTAACCCTGGAGAAACTTCTGAATCAGCAAGCATCTGTCAGAAGGTCACTGAACTCCTCAAATCCTTCTCATGCTCTGACAGTTTCTTGAAGACAAACATGACATTATGTGTGAATGGGAAGTGTTACATAATGGAATAAATTGGCAACTATACTGCATACAACAAAAAACACACTAATGCCTTCCCAAGAATTCAGTTTTCTGTCCCTCCTATGTAGGCTTTTATTCAAAGGAAATTTGGAATTTGGAGATTTAGTTCTTAGGGTTACAACATTTAGGATTTTAATCTTTCAGGATTGTGATTTGAGGGATTTTGATCTTTAGAGATTTGGGATTTCAGGGAATTTGATCTTTGGGGATTACAACATTTCTGATTATGGTTGCTGGAGTTATGATCAGCACTGATGAGAAAGCTGCTAGAGCTAATAAATAATTTCAGCAAAGCTACGGAGGATAAGATCAACACCAAAAAAAAAAAAAAAAAAAAATCAGCTGTGTTTCTGTGTACCAGCAAAGGAAATTAAGACAATAATTGTATTTACAATAGCATCCAACAGAAAAAAAAGCGGGGGTGGGGGGGGCAAAATAAGTGAACAAACAATTCACTGAAACAAAATACCCTTATAAATATGAAAAGTACTTGACCTCATTCAAAATAAAAACAATGCAATTTAAAACTACATAGAGAAACAATTTCTCCCTTCACAGATTAGGAAAAGTTTGACAGTGTTAATGAGTTTGTAGTATTACCATTAGAAATTAAAAAAGGAGCATTTTCATGGGGAGAATATATTGTTAAGAATTAATATCTCTTTTCACTTCTTTTAGGGTTTTTTTCTCCTTTATTGTCCAGACTTCTCACCTTTGGCTTCCCAATTGATATATCTTAATTTATCATTTAATGACCTCCGTGAATTTCCCGTAGAAGTGAGTCCATTTTAATTCTTGTATATATATATATATATATAAAATTATTGTATATACATATATTGCTATGATTTATTATTTGTGAATAACTATAACCAAAAAATAGACCCTGAATTTACTATAAAGTACAAACATTTTGTATTGCAACTGAAAAGACTTATTCATACAATACAAAAAGGCTGGGGCTGTGGCACAGTGGTAGAGGGCTTGCCTAGCAGGTGTGAGACAGTGGGTTCAATCCTCAGCACCACATAAAAGTAAAATGAAGATATTGTGTCCACCTACAACTTAAAAAAATACATATTAACAAAAGTGTAGTATACTTTTCTTAGGAAGTCCCTTGACATAATCCTCAAAGGCTATGCTACAGTCAGACTCTCCAATATGTTTACTGTGTAAAATTTGTTCAATATACAAAAAATATTTCTTCTAGTTCTTAATAATAAACATGTCCCCATGCCAATCCAAAGCTCTGAAAACAAAGTTAGTGATCAGGTGATACTTTAGCAAGTTTAATTAACCATAGACTGCTCAATGAAATATATGAAGGATAACATATCTGGAATGATATAATTTAATGCCATTTTAAATAAACAAGACATTAGGGCAAATTGGTTTTTGTTTGTTTGTTTTAGTGTCTGTAGTCAATGCCTCACCAGTCACTGGGTGATTAATTGTTTTGTGAATTGACTTTCAGAATATTGACATTTAGTTAAGCCATTTTTTTTAATATTTATTTTTTAGTTTTTGGTGGACACAACATCTTTGTTTGTATGTGGTGCTGAGGATCGAACCTGGGCCGCACGCATGCCAGGCAAGCGCGCTACCACTTGAGCCACATCCCCAGCCCCAAGTTAAGCCATTTTTAATTTTCAATCCAAATTGACCTACTTCCTATTTCAAACATGTAGTAGTGAAAACACATATTTTCCAGCAAAACAAACAAAATACCTATTTCATGGAGCATATGCTGTAGTGGGGGGAGATCATACATCTTTGGGAGTGATCTATCCTATGATAATAAGAGCTTTGAGGAAAAATAAAGTAGAAGGAGAAGGAGTTTTTATTTTTAATAGGAAGACTTGCTTTTTACTTTTCTAAACAATGAAACCAGTTTTATTAATTTGACTAAGACAAATTGAGACAGATTCCCAAGGAAAATAAGGATCGTAGTTTTTTGTGCTAATTTAATTTTGGCAGTGTGTATCTGACAAAAATTCTCCATCCATTAAAAAAATGACATTTAAATGCAGGGGAGCTGTTAAGATATGAGATACAGAGTGCTTATCTTTAAAGTGATATAAATTAGTAAAACTTGTCTTTGCTATGTACATCTGTGCTATATAGCTGTAGATAAAATATTCTAGTGAGGGTGGTAACATCCAGGCATAGAAGGGCTACATTGAGGTGAGCTAATTATACCCAGTTACTAGCATGGGACACAGGCAATGGATGGAAGCCTGGGGACTTGGGTGAGTGGGGTGACTGGAATTATGACAGGATTTAAGATGGGGGAATCAGGCAGAGCACAGAGTCTGCTGCAATATTTGAGGACAGGAGAAGGTAGAAGCAGAAATGTTAAATAAGAAGGTTAATATAATATTCTATGTAAACATATTTGGTCTCCTTTCTTCTCTAAGCTTCTTTAAAAAGATGTAAAATTATATTTGGTAATAATTATAATAATATATCATTAGTCTTATAACCTATGGATGCAATATGTTTAACAATTACAGAAGAATAAAGGGAAGACAGAATAGACTACAGAGAAGAACATTTCTATATCTAACTGGAATTAAGCTTATGTAAATATGAAGTAGGTTCTAGTAAGAACTCAAGAGAATATAGTGAAAAATCATTAAAGTAGTTAAAATGTTTGCACTAGAAAATATTTACTCAATGCAAAAGAAAGCAGTAAATAAGGAACAAAAAAATCATAAGACATATAGAAAGTTAAAAGTAAAATGGCAGGTGTAAATCCAGTTGTGTTTGTCATAACGTTAACCGTGAATACATTAAGTGAAACTCACAGATTGTCAGCTGGGCTTCAAAAATACACAGGGTCCAGTGATATGCTATCTGTAGAAGACACATTTAAGTTTGAAAATGACAAAGTGATTGAAAGTAAAAGCATGAGAAAAGATATATCATGCAAGCTGGAGTGACTGTAATAGTATCAGACAAAACAGATTTTACAACAAAAAATGTTACAAGAGACAAAGAAGGACATTTTGTCAATATATCAGGATGATGTGAACATACATGTATTTTTACAACAGAGCCCCAAAGTTTATGAAGCAAAAACTGAAAGAAAGGAAGAAATAAGAAATTCGACAATTATTATTGGATACGTTCATCACTTTCAATAATGCATAGAACCACTAGGAATAATATCAACAGGGAAATAGAAGAATTGGTCAACACTGTAAACCAATTAGACTTCAAAGACACCTATGAAACAGTCCAACCAATAGCCATAGGAAAAAACATTCCCAAATTTTCATTTTCTGGGATAGACCATGTGTAAGGTCTCAAACAAGCCTCAACAAACTTAAAAGGATTAAAAATCATAAAGGTTTATTTGGTTTTTACTACAGTGGAATGACATTAGAAATCAAAGTCCAAGATTTGAAAATTCACTCATGTGAAAATTAAGCAACTCATTGTTAACCATGAGTCAAAGAAGAAATCAAAAGAGAAATTTAAAAAAAAAATTGAGAAGAATGAAAATGAAAAAAGGAAATGATAAAAACTAGTACTATAACTGGTGAAATAGAGAGTAGAAAAAAGAGAAATAAAACCAACAAGCCCAAATGTTATTACGTTGAAGTGATCCACAACAGTTCACAAACCTACATAGACTGATGGGGGAATAAAGAAGGCAGAAGGCATTGATACTAAAACCAAGAATGAAAGGTCGCTCCTGACCTTACCAATTTTTTATAAAAAGAGATTTTAAGAGAATACTATAAATAAATTGGCTACAAAATTTACTATCCTCCACTCCATCAATTTGTTATTTTATTTTTATTAAAGGCTCAATAATAATAATAATCCCAGCAACTGGGAAGCTGAGGCAAGAGGATTGCAAAGTTCAACGCCAGCCTTGGCAACTTAGTGAGACACTGTCTTTTGAAATAAAAAATAAAACAAGGACTGGGAATATCTCTCAGTAATAGAGCATCCCTGGAATCAATCCTCAGAACCAAAAAAATGAAACAAACAAACAAAAACAAGATTCATCAGAGAGCAGAAAGCAAAATTTATATTAAGCAAAGATCATGGGTATAAATGGTATATCTTTAACTTTGATATGAAAATTAAATTACTGTGATAGCTCATGAAGCAGTCTTACTATAAGACTGTTTCACTGAGTATTGTTAGATACTCTGTTAGATACTCTGTTATTGTTAGATAGCCGAGTAGAGTATTGTTGAATCACTCTCCTCCAAGTGGTTGGGTCCACTTACCTTCCCAGCTCTGCCGCTGTCTCCTTCCTCCCTTATCTTTCCATGATTGCTTCACATGAAACTCTGAGCTTGATCAAAAAGGCTGACCTTTCCCATTTTGAAAATAACTCTTCTTGAGTCAAGGACATATGAATATACTAGTTGCTCTATCTCTCTTGATCATACATATTAATGCTGGTCACTTGTTTTAAAGGTTTATTAGAAGTATTTGTTGAAATGCCAAATATCTTCTCTGATATAGATGGTGATTCATGATGGGGATGGGGGCCAGTATGGGAGGAATAGACGAACTTTAGATAGGGCAAAGGGGAGGGGAGGGTAAGGGAGGAGGCATGGGGGTAAGAAAGACAGTGGAATGAGACAGACGTCATTACCTAAGTACATGTGTGAAGACAAGAATGGTATGACTCTACTTTGTGTTCAACCACAGACATGAAAATTTGTGCTAATATTTGTGTAATATGAATTGAGTTGCATTCTGCTGTCATATATAACAAGTTAGAATAAATAAAATAAAAAATTTTTAAAAAGTATTGTTGAGATATAGGTTATAAGCCAAGTTATGTTGTCATACTGATTTCACGATAGTTCAAAGAGTTAAGGTAGCAAATAGGAGTTATTATTCTGTTCATATTTGTTTCTCTTTTCTATTCTCCAGATACTTTGTCTTAAAAATCTACAAATACTGAAAATGAGAAATAATCCCATCAAAGAAATTCCTTCTGAAATCCAATACCTTAAGTTCCTTCGAATTTTCAGCATTGCTTTTAATTATATTCATGTTCTTCCGTATGGGTAAGCTTGATTATCTGAGATTATAAACATAGGAAATAAAATTAAACTATTTAATTTATTAAAGAATAAGCTACCCTTTGGAAACAGTATTCTTCTCTTCTAATTAACTGATTTGATTCTTATTCTGATACTAAAAATAATCCTATCAGCTGCATAAATGGCAATTAATATGAGTCTAGTGAATACTCATCTAAAGATCTGCTACTGATTATGGAGTAAATGAACCAGAGTCCTGTAATACAGTTCAGATGAGAACCTTGTACCTGCCTTTCATGGCCTTTGGGGATATGGGAAGAGCACTGAACTTGGATTTGGAATGTACACCTCTAATATTAAAGTTGATATTTTACCTGCAGGAAGTAATTTGACAATTCTTGGCCTCAATTTCCTAATATATAAACCAAGGAGATTGGCCTAAGTGCTATCTAAGATCTTTTCAACTCTAATAGAAAGGCTTATATTTGGGTATATAGAGATGGACTTCTTACATAAGAACCATTAATTTGTTGTTGTTGTTGTTACTGGGGATTTAACCCAGGGCGCTTAACCCTACATCCCCAACCAATTTTACTTTTTAATTTTGAAACAGGATTTCACTAACTTTCTAAGGCTGGCTTTGAACTTGTGATCTTCCTGCCTTAGCCTTCCAAGTTGCTGGGATTACAGGTGTGGGCCACAGTGCGTGGCTGAACTTATTTAACTTTTAATGAAAGCTGTAAACCCATATCGTAACCAAATGCCCAAACAAGATACTTCTTTAAACTATAGTTTAACAAACTGAATGTAAGTTAAAGATATTATATATAATATCCATGTTACATTTTATATATATATATATATATATATATATATATATATGCATACACACATAAATTGCATATATTTGTATATATATACAGAAATATATAAATATTTATGTACATATACAGTTACATATGCAGCACCTAGACATGAATTTGTGCTGGATAACCTGTAATCATAATTACATATTATAAATAATCATAACCATCATTTAAAAATGTAGAAATCCCTAAAGCAACAAAAATTTGATCACAACTAAAGGGACAACATATTGTTCATTGTTAAGAGATTGGGCAAATTAGTATGAACTCTTGGTTTTAAGGAGCTAGTTTTCAAAATATAAGTGTTTCTTAAAGAAAGTACTATAATTTTTATAAAATAGCATTGAATATACATAACCAGAAAAGATTGATGGCATAATGAAGCCAAGAATGAAAAACATAATGGGAAAACTTTATTGACCTCAGAGAAGATTTATAGCAACATCTGACATAAGTTAAAATGTTTGTTTGCAGAGTTTGTTAAGTAAAAACTCACCAAGAGAGTGCTTGTACAGCGAGGGAAAGGCTGAACTCTGTATACTTAGGAACTGTTGTCAGAATTCCAGTTTGCTGAGCACAAATGACCCAATGTACAGTGGCAGGATTTAGGGAGCATTAACTGAGTAAAATGGAGTGAAATGCAGTGAATCAAACAGTTATGCAACATATTAGAGATAGTTCCAGTTCCATATAAATTTTGAATTTTGGATGTTATTACTGTCAAAAGTAATTACCCTGATGCACTTCGAATGCTATGTTTTCGTTTTTGTACTTAATTCAGCAGATGTTGATGAAGCATCTACTATGTACTTCCAGGAGCTCACTGCCTACAAGGAAGGCAGACAGTTGGATACAATTAGTAAAGTAAAACAATAGCGATGTAAATTGTAAGATGTGTGAATTCCATAGACTAGCATGCAACTCATTCTGGAGGATAAGAGATGACTCCCTGGAAGAGATGATGTTTGATCCAAGTACGACTGAGTTAGCTGGGTTTCAGGGTCTGGAGAGAGCAAGAGAGAGTTGGTCCCATAATTTTTTGCTCAAAAAGAAGATAGCAAGGAAGCAACATATAAAATATGGGATGGAAAATATAAGGAGTTTGTTATTTTTGAAGCAAAGTCAAGTGGTGAGAAATGAGCCTGGTGCCAGGGTCCTTGTGAGTCAAGATTTTTAAAAAATTATACTTTATGCTATATGCAATGAGAATACATTACAGGGTTTTCCACAGGGGAATATGGAATCTATTTTAGGTCACACTGGTGGCAGTACAGATGATGGATATGAGGGACCAAGCAGAATTCAAGGGGACCAGTTGTAGGGCTATTAAAATAGCTCAGCAAGAAATAAAGAAACCTTGAACCAGGGCAATGGTCATATGCACAGAGAAGGAAGATATTGTTGAGAAATAAAGCATAATCTGCAAGATTTGGTACTGATCAGACATTCAGCAGTTAAGAAACCTAGAAGTCAAGGCTTAAAAAAAATGCATTGCGACTCCCAGATACCTACAGTAGAATAATTTAATCATGTAAAATTTGTTTATTAATTATTTACTAAATAGTGGGTTCTTTCTTAAGAATTGGATTTAGATTGGTAGACTGGAAGGGGAATGATCCCTTCTCTTATGGGGTTTAGAATCCAGAGAAGGATATTGAAATTCTAATAGACACTGTAATAAATAAATACGTATTCTAAGGATTATGAATGAAAAGAACAGAAAGAAGGAATATGAATTAAATTGATTTGCTAAGAAAACATTATTTGAGGAAATGAAATTTAGCAGACATATATGAGTCTAAGCCAAGAACAGAGAAAAGAATATTTTATGCAGTGGGAATAAGGTAGGTGAGAGCCTGGCCCTTCAAAGGCTTCCAGGAAGCCAGCCTGGTTTTGGGAATGATGAGAATGTGGCCCCAGGTGAGGGCCAAGTGTTTGAAAATGGCTACATCCCATCAAGTTTTGGAGGTCACATGAAGAAATGTATATTTTAAGTGCCATGAGAAGCCCTTAATTAGTTTTAAGCAAAACAAAGACCAGATTAAAGCTAAGGAGTTTTGAAGGGAGGGAAATAATGTGCTTAACCCTAGATCAATATGTTGGTCAGGGGTTGTTTTCTATCCCACCATTGGACTTAGACATAGTGAACCACAGAAGAATTTTTTGCTGGAAATAAATTTTTTTTAATATTTATGTTTTAGATGTAGATGGACACAACACAATGCCTTTATTTTTATGTGGTGCTGAGAATCGAACCCGGGTCCCGTCCGTGCTAGGGGAGCGCTCTACCGCTGAGCCACAATCCCAACCCCTGGAAATAAAGATTTTTGAATTAACAGTATATACTAACTGAAGGCAGTGAGAATATGTAGAGGAATTATCTGAAGGGATGTTGCTGGAAAAATATCAGCATTTCAGCTAAAGACAGATGAGGAGGAAATTCTAGAGATGGAGGGGGGAAAAACTGTCAAATTGCACAAAGAGAACCAGGTGTACTGTGGAAGCCAGGTTACTTCAGAAAAAGAGGATGACTAACAGTACCAAGTATATCAGAAAAACTCGGGTTAAATCTGAGAACAGTTTCAATGGAATGGTAGGAACAAAAGCCAGTTTGTAGTGGGTTGAGAGAGAAGGGGAGGAGAGAAATTGGTAATGATGAGTAAGTATAGAGACCACCTTTTGGAGAAATCTGGATGTACCAGGAGGAGAGAGATTCAATAAAAGATAGAACATGGGATCTTAGAAACATTTTTGTTAGTTTTTTTTTTTTTTTATTCATAGTGGGATAGGGAGGGGGAGCAGGGGAGGAATAGAAGAACTCTAGATAAGGCAGAGGGGTGGGAGGGGAAGGGAGGGGGCAGGGGGTTAGAGATGATGTTGGAATGTGATGGTCATTATTATCCAAAGTACAGGTATGGAGACACAAATTGATGTGAATATACTTTGTATACAACCAGAGATATGAAAAATTGTGCTCTATATGTGTAATAAGAACTGTAATGCATTCCACTGTCATAAATAATTTTAAAAAATAAGTAAAAAAAAGACTCAGGCAGCTTGGTGCACTGGTGCTTGCCTATAATCCCAGAGGCTTGGGACACTGAGGCAGGAGGATTGAGAGTTCAAAGCCTGCCTCAGCAACAGCTGAGGGGCCAAGCATCTCAGTGAGACTTTGTCTCTAAATAAAATACAAAATAGGGCTGGGGATGTGGCTCAATGGTTGATGCCCCTGAGTTCAATCCCTGGTACCCCCCCCCCCAAAAAAAAAAGACTCAGGCATATTCACAGAATGATGGAAAGGTATCAGTAGAAAATAGACTGGCTGGCCGTATGGAAGGATGCCTGATGGGGCAGAACTTCATAACCTCACAGGAAGTAGAAGGGAAAGGAGTCATGGGCACAGGTGGAGATCCTGGTCTTGAACAGGAGGAATGACCCTATCTCCTAAAACCGGAAGCAGGCTCTGAGAATGAATATGGAAAAACATGCATTCCTGTGGGTGGGAAAACTGGAAACCCACTTATTAACAAAAATTTTTTTAGCTCCTATTATGTGTCAGTTGAGGGAGATGACTCTGAAATGACTTGAATTACGGTCATCTTTGATTGTATGAAGAATGATGATTAAAAAGGAGGTTTGAAGAAACTTGTAATGATTTAGTATTGCTATTGAGCTAAGAGAGCAAAGCTGATGCCTGAGGCAGAGCCAGGAGCCTGGAGGGAAGGACATCGAAGCCAGTGGGTTGAACTGTGAGATGCAGATGATGATTCCCTGCCTTGAAAGCAAATGGAATTTACCCAGTTGGATTCCTAAATTGCTTAGGATTGGTAACTGCTTTTCAATTTTTCATTTTCTCCCTTTTGAACCAGAATGTCTATAACTGTTATTCTATGCCTGCCCCACCGTTGTATCTTAGAGGATGATAGCATTGCCTTAGTTTCAAGAACTACCAATAGAGAAAATATTGTGTCCCCAGAGAGATTATGCTTGGAACCTCACCTCCACCTGCTTTAAAGGATGAAGTTTGGGTTTGAGTTTAGATGAGATGTTGAACTTTGAGTTGACACTGTAACGGGATGAGACCTAGGGGAGTTTGGGATCTCTAAAGATATTTTGCAGGTGGGGTAGAGGTAAATCTCTAGGATGGACTATGATCAGCAGAATAATTGTTCCTAGAGATGTCTGCATCCTAATCCCCACAAAACATGGATATGTTACATGGCATGGAACAGGAATTTAGACTAGAAACCAAAAGGTTTCTAATCACTGATTTTAAAAAGTAGGGAGATTATTCTGGATTATCCAAATGGACCCAGTCTAATTCCATGAGCTCTTAAAAATGGAAGGGAAGCGGCAGGATTTAAAGAAGGAAGCAACCTGCGGACCTGTTCTTGCTGCTACAAAAGTGGAAGGCGGCCATGAGTCAAGGAATGCAATACGGCAGTTTGTAAAACCTGGGAAGGGTCATTAGCTTGCTGCCAACAGGAGCACAGGGACCTCAGTGCTGCAGACAGAAGGAATCAAATTCCGGCAACAACCTGAATGAGCAAGACACAGATTCTCTAAAGAGGGATGCAGCTGGCTGAAGACTTAATTTTAGTATGGTGAGACAGTGCCAAATTTCTGATCTATGTAATTGTAAAACAATCAATCTTTGTGACTTTAAGGCACAAAGTTAATGTTGCAATTTAAATGGCACCAATAGAAAGCTAATATGAAATCACTTCTGAATCTCACATATTCATAGAATAAGTAATATACACAGTAAATAAATTACCTAGCAGGTAATAAATGGAGTAACTTAAAAGGTAGTGTTATGAAAAAGAAGAAAATAGAATGGTATAAGGAAGTGAGAATGAAATTTTAAATGGGATATTCAGGTTGGCCTTATTTAAAAAGGACATTTGAAGAAAGCATGCGGTTAGTAGTATACATCTAGCAATTCAAATAAAATTTAGCAGTACTTTATTAAATAAACAACTTGTTTGAAGCCATAATATTAGAATTTAAATTAAGATGTATACTTTTTTGCTGGGCCAGGTGGCTCATGCCTATAATTCCAATGATGTGGGAGGCTGAGGCAGGAGAATTTCCAGTTTGAGAAAAGGCTCAGCAACTTAGTAGGGCCTTCAGCAACTTAGTGAGACCCTGTCAAAGAATAAAAAATGTTTTTAAAAAGGCTGGGGTAAAGTGCCCTTTGTTCCATTCCCAGTACCAAAAAAAAAAAAAAAAAAAAGTTAAGAGCCAGGTTTACAGCACATGCCTATAATCCCAGCAATTTGGGAGGTTGAGACAGGGGGATGGCAAGTTCAAAGCCAGCCTCAGCAATTTAGCAAGGCCCTAGGTAACTTAGCCTGACCTTGTCTCACAATAAAAAATAAAAAGGGCTGGGGATGTGATTCAGTGGTTAAGTGCCCCTGGGTTAAACCCCCAGTACCAAAAACAAAAAAACAAATACCTCAAAAAAACATGTTTAAGAAGATCACCTTTTTCTAGTCTTCTTATTATCATCCAAATTTTCTTATCACTTCCATATTATAAAAAACATTTTTCTCAGATATATTATTTAGGTGACTTCTTAAACTTTTTCTAAAACTGTGATGAAGTTCTTTCACTATTATCTTCCTACTCCTCACTAGATCTTTCTGCTTTCATGAGACTCAGCGTGGCATTGTGGCATCCTTGAAAAGGCTAGGGACTGTCAGAGGTGAGCTTTGCCCCTTAGATGCTAAAAGCTTAACTTCAGCACTCTTAACCTTAACTTCAGTTTCTATCTGGAAGTAAGAAAACCTTGTAGATTACTTTTTAAATTCTCTCAATGATTTCTACAGATTTTTCTTTTCCCCTTGACCTAAGTTTCAAAATCAAAATGAAATATCCAACATTTAAAAAATTATATAACAGCTGACTGTTTCAATGTAGGTGAATTAAAAGTTAATGAGGAAAAAAGTCTATTTGGTAAGAGCACCAATTCACAGAGGCCTGCATTTTTGTTTCTGATGGTTTGCTCCTACCTGGTGGGGCATCTGGTATGCGGCAACATGGATGAAGGAAGGCCCATGTTTTGGAGTCAGAAAGAACTATCATCCCAGCCATGCCCCTTAGAGACTATCAATGTATAATTAATTGTCATGTTTGGAATTTTGCAATCATGAGAAGTTCTTTGATTTGTCTTTTTGAAAGATTTATAAAATAAAGATAATAAATCACTTTAAATCCAGAGTTTTTTTTTCTTTCCCCAAAACTTTTAGAGAAGTTAAGAAAGAGAGAAAAGGAAACCAAAAAAGGAAAGAAGCTTGTTTTGGTGATGTCATTACAACCTTTTAGGAACAGAGAAAAACACATATTTCATAAACAAATACTATTTGCTACCAAAACAACTTTTGGGACTCAAACCCTGAGGTTATGCAGAGATAACTATCACAAAAGTTCAAGAAAGAAAAAAAAGTCCTTATCTTTTTCTCAGTGGCTAGCAGAATAAAAATGATATAGAAAATTGCAACTTTTAACTATCAGAATCAAATGTTTGCTTTCCTTATCTGATTCAGTTTGCTTTAATGAGCAGGCAGTTTCTTTGGGAAAGAGAATCTATTTAGAACAAAATACCAGGCAACTAACTTGAGAGCCTATATTAACAGCTGGTTTTTCTGTATTAACAACTGATGTTGCATACTTTGTTTTCCCATATTGTTATAGATTAAAAGGGGGGATTAAGTTTCTTTGTCTCCACATATCTGATACCTGAAAAAAAAAGGATAACAATCTTGGAATGGTATGGTGAAAGAACATTCTAAATTGGCATGAACATACAGTATGCTACTAATAAATGATATTTATTATTTAATCATCACCATTAAAACATGTAATTATTAATGATAGCCTATTCCTCCAAGCTAGCAGCAGGGCTCTAAGCACCTTTTGCCCAATAATGTGCTGGTAAATAAAGCAATGAAATAAGTGTTAAAAACTCTATACATCCTAAAGAAAAAAAAAGGGACAGAGTTGGTGCTAATGGTGTATAGAGTACCAGAACAAACTGAGGCTTTCTAAATTTGCTTTCTAAAATCACAGATGAGGTCAGTCCAACTCCGGAACCTAAGCTGCTTCCTTGATGCTGCCCACAAGCCTTAATTCAACTTCCCAGTCATCAGGACATATCATCCACCTAAAAGCCTGGAACTAGAATAAGGGGGAGTTCAGGATGAGGCAAGAAAATAAAACATATTTTGAATTGCAAATTATAGCAAATGATATTATCATATTCTTTATAGAGGTGATTAAAATTGGTGTGCACTACCACACCCAGTTTCCTAGTCAATCTTAATTTCTCAGAGCATTTAATTTTAAGTTACCTGGAATCACCACTCCTTTCATCCAATTGTGATTTACTCAGTAATTCTGATACACATAGGTGCTATGTGAGGAGTGGATATATAGAAATGCAAAAAGGAATCCCTCCAGGAACTTATGAGTTTAGGAGGCAAGCATTTATTGCACAATGCTACAGGTCCCATGATAGAGGCAAGCAGAGAAGTACAGAAGAGAAATCTTCCTACTCTGAAAGAGTCAGAAGTAGTTCCTTGAAAGAGCTAATATCTGAACCAAGACTTAAAACTTGAAAGACAAGTCAAGTGTTGGGGAAAATACATGTGGTATTTGGAGATACGTGAGAACTAGTTAATGCAGAGAATTTTAGCAAATAAATTTAACAAATAAAATAATTTTAGCAAATAAAATTTGTCCCTGGACTACAGGGACAATGGAGAAGAGTGTGAAAGGTGAGATAGACAAGTAATCTGGAGCCAGGTCCTAAGGACCTTTGTATGTCATGCTAAAATAGTAAAAAGTTAGTGAAATACCGTGTTAATGATGCCTTAGTTAATAATCATGCAAGTAAATTTACATCTTTTATTTATAGGGAATCAGAAAGACATTTGAGGATAGCACACACAGAAAGAGGGATTTTCACTAGAGGTTATGATAAATATTATATATTGAGCCCTTCAATTCCAATCTTCAAGAAGTGATTCCCACTCTCATCCTCCAGGAGACAGGGCTTGTGGCAGAATAACAGTATTCTTCAGTTCTTATAACTGCATAACTTGTTATAAAGTCTTGGCATTCTTTGGTTTTTACTTATAGGAACTTATCTCAATGGAAAGAATGATCAAAGGTATTTCACCATGGAAGTCTTAATGCAATTGGGTTGAGTAGTGTCGCTGAACAATCTGTGTCCATATAGAAACTCAGAATGTGACCTTATTTGGAAATAAGGTCTTCATAGATGCAGTTAGTTAAATTACCATGAGGTCATACTGAATTAGGGTAGGCCTTAAGTCCAATAACTGGTATCCTTATAGGAAGACAAAGTCCAAGGTGGGAGTTCTGTTGTCAGAAGCTAAGGGACCCCAAGGACTGCAGGCAGCCTCTAGAAGCTGGGAGACATGCAAGGGACGGTTTCTCCCTCAGAACCTCTAGGAGGAATCAGCCTGCTGACATCTGGAGTTTGGCCTTCTGGCCTCCAGAACTGCAAAAGAATAAATTTCTGTTTTTTGAGCCACCTGGATTGTGGTTCTTTGTTATATCAGCCTGAGGACACTAATACAGCAAACACGAAAAATGGAGAGTGTGTGTGTGTGTGTGTTTTAAATGCTTTTAAAAATGTCTCAGGTGCCTTTTTCTAAATGGGGCTTTACCCACTCCAAATATCTCAAACAAGTCTCATTGGATAGATAAATAATTTTTAGAAAGTAATTGCCCCATATCTAATGAAAAGATGTCTATATAAATGTCAAGATAATGTCTATATAAATGTCTATATAAATGGCAAGGTACAACTTCTGTACTATCACCTATGAACTTAAATATTTGATTCTTTTATTCCCAACTATGACAAATAGATAGTCATATTTACAATTAGTTTTCTCTGTTTTAGGTTATTTTCCTTGGCCCATCTTGAGGAACTTGATATTTCCTACAATGAAATTACTTCTATTCCGAATGATATCCAGAAACTCAGGTATTTGGGGATTAGTAAGTACAAAGAAAGTCATGTTTCCCTTAAAGATATTTGGTAACGACTGTGATGGAGAAATTTGAGTCCTCTCATTTATTTAGTAGCAAGCAATGAAAAATGTGAGCTACAAAATTCATAGAACGGCTCTTATCTGTTGCATCTTTATAAGGAAATACACATTATAAAATGCTCATAATACTTAATGTAGTTTTAATATTAAACTCTGGTTCTCACATTAATAAAAAAGAAAGTCTGAAGTTTTTCTGTGTCTTTCTATATCAGTATCATATTTTTTAAAATTTATTTTTTATTTTAATTTATTTATTCTAATTAGGTATATATGACTATAGAATGCATTTTGATTCATTGTACACAATTGCACCACAACTTTTCATTTCTCTGGATGTACACAATATAGCATCGCACTATATGTGCAGTCATACACGTACCTAAGGTAATGATGTCTATCTCACTCCACCATTTTTCCTGCCCCCATGTCCTTTCCCCTTTGCCCATTCACAGTTCCTCCATTTTTCACATGCCCCCCCCCCATTATGGATCAGAGAACATTCAGCCTTTGGTTTTTTGGGATTGGCTTACTTTGCTTAGCATGAGTATCATGCAATTTTGATTATTACTTTAAAATAATAAAAATAGGAAGGTTATTTTGTTATTTTTCAATAATAATTTCTTAATAACTCTCTTTAGAGATAACCTTTACTAACTCTCTTTAGATGATAACCTTTAAGATCATTTTATATAATTCCCAGCTTCTCTTTCAATACACATCAACACAAAGTTGGCATTTTAGTTGTCCATCACCTTGAGATTACACAAAATTTTGAAGAATTTATATTTTTGATGATAATAAAATTTTTCATTCTAAAACACATTTTTTTATATTTTCAGATCTTGTCTGATCCACTTTGTATCTTTCTTAATAGGCTTTTTTAAGTATTCTATAATGGTGTTGCTACTGTGAATATAATGCTTCTCTTACTTCCATTTTTAGCTCTATCCAGCATAGAAAAACTATGTATTTCTTTATGTTATCTTAAAATCAAGCAATGTAAATCAAGTTCTCCTTAGATCTGATGGCTTTCCTTTTGTTCTCTAGGAGTATGATCTTTGGCAAAGGAGATCATTTTTTCTAATTTTACAATATTTATACTATTATTTGATTTTCCATGTGACAATCCCTGAATTTTAATAGGAGAATTCTGCCCATCCATATTTGTTAAAGACTGATGTATTTATTTATTTATTTGCTTTCTGCTTTACTTTGTATTTACTATTTATTTCCTGTTCCCCCCCTCTCCTTTTCCCTACTTTTCCCTCTCCTTCTTCTTCTGGTTTGTTCAGCATAATATTTATTCTCTTTTATTCCTCCCTTGTTAATTGTGGTGTTTTAGTATACTTTTCTAATCCCTTCCCCAAACTCATTATCAAACATGTTTTCCTTAATATTTTACATAAGCCCCCACATAATGGCCTGTCTGCCCACTGCTGTCTTTGACATCTATTTGAGACTTAAAAATTTTTATTTTCCCTTAAAACTTACCTGCCTTTTATCTAACTCTAGATTTTATGGAGATGGCTTAGAAACTTTTGTCACAGATTCCCATTGATATTTTCCTTTGCATTATGTCTGTCTGTCTACAGAGCATTTATCAAGTATTTCAATCTCACAACATTTTCAGGCAATCTCCATTCATTTTTAACTGTATGTTTCAAGATCCATGGCTTGCTGCTGCTTTTTCTCTTCTTTCATCTCATCTTGAATCTGGAAAGATGTCTGTTTTAAGTCGTTGATGGGATAGAGTGTTCCTGTAGACCTTTTCTCCAGTGAGTAGCTTTTTTCTCTGAATCTTGAAGATAACAAATGACGTCATCAGTGGGGAAGATCTGGCTCTGCAGCCCTCCCTCTCCATCAGCATTTCCTCCCCATCTTCCAGCATGGCAGGCCAGGTGCCTGATGCCAGTTTACTCTTACTTTGTAAGCGGCTCTTATTCTCATCTGAGAAGCCTTAAGGTTTTCTCATCATCTCTGATCTTCAGCAATTCCATAAGGTTATGCTTAAGAGTGGATCAGTTTTCTTTTGTAAATCTGTCTTTCCTTGGATTCAGGGAACTCTTAATCAGCCAGCTCACACTTCTTTAAGACAATATGTTAAGTGATTGTCTCTTCCATCTTTTTCTACTTCTCTTCCTGAAATGACTATTATTTATATATTAAGTCTACTGGATCTATCTTCCGTGTCACCTATGTTTTTCCTCATGATTTTTCTTTATGCTTTTGTTTTGTTCTGAATCATGCCTTCTACTTGGCTTCTGATTTGGATCTCCACAAAGGTCATGTTCTTCTATTTATCCACTTAAATCTTTTATTTCACAAATCATGCATTTGGGTTCAAGAAAGCATTTGGATGTTTGAGTGTGCACACATTTGACTCTCATTGTTTTTCCTGTTCCCACCCCAACTTCTTATCTGTCTCTCCACAGAGAGTGCTTGCCTCAGGGCCACTGTCCTGTGCAATGTGTCTGCTTTTCTCATCTGGTAGCTCTTCTACTTGCCCAGTGGCAGTTGAGAATGTCACCACTCAGAACAGCAGGAATGTCAGTCATGCCTCAAGGAGACTCCTCTGCCCCCAGAGTGCTCAGCTTCGAAACTGGATGTGGGGGTCTTCCAGCTTCAATTATTGTTTGGCCAGCTTAGCTCCCCAAAACCCATAAATAGGAAGAGGGCACCCAAACTTCTGGGTCCTCACCATGGATGTCCTGGGAACATTTGCTGGCCTTTCCCTTGCATGTGCCACACTCATTCTGGTTGTCCACACAGGACTTGTCCTTGTCAGCAGGGGCTGCTACAGCAATGTCCTGTAGGCTTGGTACCTTGTATATAACAGAAACTCATTTCTCATGTTCTGGAAGCCCAGAAACCCAATATGAATATGTAAGTAAATTTGGTGTCTGGCTAGGGTGTGCTGTCACGTACACAGCCACCTTCTCCCTCTTGCCTCCCATTATAGAAGGAGCCATCTGAAGCCTGTTTTATCCTGCTTATGAGAGCTGTCCACCCCAACCTAATCACCTCCTAAAAATTCTACCTCTAAATGTCATCACCTTGGGGACAAAGATTTCAACATAGGAATTAAGAGGGATATAAATATTCAGCCCATAGCCAGACTCTCTGCTTCTGGCATGTTGGCTTGCGTTTGATGCAGAGGAAAAAGTGAGCATGCTAGTTCTCTCCTTCAGGACCAAAACAGCCTGGAGTCTTGCTCACCTGTACCAGACCATGGGAGGCACAAGGTCAAACTGAAAGAATTCTGTTATCTTCTTAGCCTCTTTCTGTTTTAAATACATACCACCTTCAAACACATTTTAATACTGTTAGTAAGGGTCACAATATGAGACTAGACTGTCAATAAGAACCTAGAAGCCCCTTACTCACTGCCTAAATTCCATTTTCCAGCCGGTTCACCTTTAATGCATATGAAATTTTGTTGGCCTTTGACTTCGATTTTTATGTGTCCCTCATGAACAGATACTTTTCTGTCTGCTTCCAGCACTAATTAGAAGGGAGATAAGTGACTGTGGAAAACACTACTGAGACAAGTGAAAATAAGAAAATCAGTCATGCTGGTTTTCTGAATAAAGGACCAAGGATTATTGAAAGCAACTGACACAGTGAAGACTTAAGGGGACTTGGGTGTTGAAAAAGTCAAAGCATAACATAGCACGTGGTACATTTTGATGGCATAAATTTCACTGGTTTTATTACCATTGAATGACAAAATACATGTTGACGTTCAATTTTCTATAAAAGCATTTTTTTCTGTATGTTCTTTTTATATTGTATTATATAATGTTTGTTAGTCTTCCTGTGATTGTGGACATTATTTCTTTTTCCACACTGATGACCCCATTCAAAGACCTTCCAAATACAGGCACCAACTGAGCACACAAAGTGTACTTATTTGTGTAAAAATATATTAGTTCAGTTGTTTCATATGTAAATTCTCTTGATTTTAATACTTAAATACACATGTGTTTTTTCCTTGCCACTAAATTTGTTGCCAGTTTTTAAGAACGCTGGGACAAAATTGCATAAATATCTTTAAAATGAGATTATCTTTATTTACAGATCACTTGACAAACTGATTATTGATGGGAATTACTTGTTTTTTCTTCCACCTGGAATTTTGAAGCTTAACCTGACAAAAATCCAGCTTGAGAATACTTTCACTCATCGTAGTTTATGGGTCGAGAATTGTTTCAATAGTCCCCAACAACTTACTCACATGTGTGCTTTGTTCATTGTCAAAAATGATCTACTTGGTTCTTATGATAAGATCCCACTAAAAGTTCAAAAGTTACTGATATGGTGAGTAAATTCTGAAGTACTTCAGACCAAAGTACACCTTTTAGTATCTGAAATGTCTTCATTAAGGGCTGGGGCTATAGCTCAGTGGCAGAGTCTAATGTGTGAGGCACTGGGTTTGATCCTTAGCACAACATAAAAATAAACAAATAAAATAAAGGCATTCTGTCCATCTACAAATACAAAAAAAAATTTTAATTTCTTCATTAGGGGCCAAATAACAGTTTTACTAAATCACACACACACACACACACACACACACACACACACACCAGCACATCACCTACAAAAGCATACACACAATTCTTCAAATTGCCCCTTTCAGCTTTTCAGGGATAATAATACAGTCTGAATTTAGTGCCATTTTTCTCAAGTTGTTATATAAAGAATGGATTGCTGAAGTATATTGACAGTATGTACACAGCTGTTACATAAATCCTTTCTATGAGTTACTAAGTACATAGAAGTGGTTTCTTTAAAAAAAAAAAATTCTCCACCCAGGGAAAATGTTTGCTTTACTGTGGTAGAGACCTGGACAGAGCAACTGCTCTCCTCCAGCATCAATGACCAATTGTAGAGTTATTACCTGATCTCAGGACTAGAATTCTTAAACCCCTACATACTTATAGCTCACTTAAGCTTGTTTCTTATTTCCTTCAGATAGCATGAAACCATTTTTACTTAAGTATTAATCATCAGCACTATTGATTTAATAAATACTATTGTATGCCTAAGTTTCCCTGGAATGTCTAAATTACCAGTATTGACTCAACAAAAGGCAGATGCTATAGTTTGGATCCTGAATGTTCTAGAGGACCATGTGTTAATGGTGTGGTCCTGAAGATAGTACCTCCATTGAGAGGTAGTGGAACCTTAAAAGGGTAGGGCCCACCAAGAAATGACTAGGTAATTGGAGACATGCCTTTGGATGGGATTCTGGAGTCCAGTTCCATCTTCTTTCTCTTTGCTTCCTGGCCAGGAGGAGAGTGATTTTACTCCACCACTTGTTCCCATCACGATGTGTTGCCTCACCACAGATTCAAAGCAATGGGGCCAATTGATTATGAATAGGCACCTCCAAAACTGTGAGCCAAAACAAACTTTTTCTCTTTTTACAAGTTGAATATCTCAGGCATTTTGTTAGAGTGATACAAAGCTAACACAGCAACCATTAAAGAAATGTAAAAAAAAAAAATAGTTAAAGATCTATCTATAAAAAAAGGACAGAGCCAAGAAGTTTTCAATTTTAATATATTGAAATTTCAAAGCACATGAAATTTTATTGCAAATGAGAAAATTTTTTTAAATTCTCCAAGGGAAAAATGTTTTAAAGAAGTAAAACCCAACTTGTAAAAATTTAGATTCACAACAAGGTTGTGAACATGAACCTGAGATTCCTGAATTAAAGCTAGACCCAAAGAAGGTCTACATGGTTCCAGAGCAATGAACCACCAATGTATTGGACATTCTCGATTTATACAGCAAAGATTCCAGGAATTTAAGTTCAATGAATATTATCTCATAATTTAAAGAAATTTACAAACCATCAAAAATAAAAACCAGAAGAAACAACTAACATGTACTAATCTTCAAGAATCTAAGATATTAGTATTATTTACAGAATATGTAAATGTTTCAAGAAATAAAATATAATTTTAAACATAGTTAATAAGTAAGAGATTATCATATATGGCCAGGAAAATATAGAAAAGAAACTTTAAATGAAACTAAATTCTAGAAACTAAAAATGTAATACTTCAAATCAACTTGGTGCATGAGTTAAACAATAGGTTATGCATACATGAAAAAAGAGGCAGAAAAATCACGTTAAGACAGAGACAGGAAGTAAAAAAGGAAAAGAGTTAACATAGACTTTGAGAGCCAGAAAGTGAGAACAGAATAGCAGAGTCCTCACTGGATGAGATGATGGCTGCAAAGTCTCAGAAGTAATGAAAGGTGTGAATTCACAGACAGCTCTGCACTGGCTCAGAAAGGTACCTCATAGTGAAAATAAAGAACACCAAAGACAAAGACAAGAAACCAAAATCAGCTGGAAGAAAACCACAAGTAATGGCTGAGGAACTGTCAGCAACAGCACAACAGTGTCTGAAAAAATATTATATTCTGCCTGGCAAAACTACCTTTCAAAAAAGAAAGACAAAGAATGGTGTTTTTGGAGGAAAACAAAACAGAGAATTTGCTCTCAACAGATTTTCCTTAAGGATATGCATCAGAAAGAAGGAAAACAACTACAAAAACAAAGTCCAAAATGTAAGAAGGAATAGTGAAAACAGAAATTTAAAAACAAGTAAGCAAACATAATATCTATGAAATGATAATAATAGTAATGGGCTTAAAAGGAGATATAGCTAAAAGCAGACATTAAATAGAAAGAAAATCTTTAAAAGATATTTTTATGATAGCAAAAACAATGTATCTGGGAATATATCAAGTGAAATATGCGCAAGATATTTATGAAAAACAATTTAAACAATGAAAAAGTAAAGAAGTCTGAATGTAAGGGGAGGGATATATATTCAATACAAAAAATATAGCAGATATTCCCAAATACAGCTATAAATCCAATGCATTTTTGGTCAAAATCCTAATAGAATTTTTTTCAGGAACTTGACGATCTGATTCTAAAATGTACATGGAAAAGCGAAGGCTCCAAAGTAGCCAGAGAAAACCTGGAAAAGAAGTCTAACATACGGGGCTTGCAAGACTTTATATTAAAAGTTAAAGAAAGTAAAACAGGTTGGTATTAGGTAAAGGGAAGGACACAGTTAGTAGTGGAAGAATAAAACATAGCCCAGTCATTTTTTTTTCATGCATATGTGAAAACTCAATATTTGACAAAATGGCACCGTGGATCCAGAGGGAGAGGCTTTTCAATAAATGTTGCTGAGACATTTGCTCATTTTCAGAGAAAAAAATATTTAAAATTAGATTTCTGCTAGGCATATGTCACCACCATTCACAAAGATCATTTATGAAGATCATTTCCAATAGTGTTAAAAATTGAAGTATGAAAACCAAAACCTTGAAGCTTTTGGAAGCAAGTACAGGAGACTTATCTTCATGGCATACAGGAAAAGACACCTTGAATAAACCACAGAAATGCAAACAGTAAAGCAAAGTATATGAATTGGATCCAAGAGAGAGATTTTCACAAATACAAAATACCATCAATGAAATTAAAAAAAACAAGTCATCGACTGAAATAAGATATGTCAATGCTTATAAAAAGTTGAAACATGTATATCTTCCACATATCAATTAGTAAAGCTATAACCCAGAAAAAAGTGAGTAATAGGAATATGCAGTTAATTCATGAATGATACAGATAGCAGATAACTAAGAGGAATGTTAACCTCATGGTAATCAAGGAACCAAAATGTGAAATAGCAACAATAGATGTTTTTTTTTTTTTTTTTTTTACTTACCTGTCTTATCAACTTTTAAAAGATTGATATTGTGTTGACTTTCCATGCCTGAAGACAGAACTGTTGGCTACTGTTGGTGGTAACTGTAAACCGCTGGAAGCTTCATGGACAGCAATTTGACAGTTTGTTACTTATCCCTTAAAACAACAGTTTAAAAATCTTAAGGATTCGGCCTTATGGAAGTAGTTACCTGTGAACACAAGTCTGTTACAGGGATGGTAACTGCAGCTTAAATGTGCATCAGAAAGAGAGTGGTAAAATAAATTGTGGTCTACCCAAACTATCAAATGTGCTATTAGTAAGAATGAAGTAAAACAAAATATATCAATATGGAGAGTTGTCTAAGAAACTATACATAATATTTTTGTTTAAGAAAAGTAATATTGTGTTACACATTGTATACTTCATTATTTGGCACTTTTAACATTTAAGTTTTTTGTCCTTACCAGGGGTGCTTAACCACTGAGCCACATCCCCACTCCTATTTATTTAATTTTGAGACAGGGTTTTGCTAAATTCCCTAAGGTCCCACTAAGTTGCTGAGGCTGGCTTCAAATTTGTGATCCTCCTGTCTCAGCTTCCAAAGCCACTGGGACTACAGGCATGGGCCATAGCACCCTGCAGCATATAATTTTTCACTTGATTGTAAGTGCCACTTCTAGAGGATAAGCTCAATGAAGCGAAAGGTTGTATGTTATAGTACTTTGGATCTTGCCAAGCAACAAGTGTTTTTACTTTGGTAGAAATTTATTACATGTTCACTTGATGTTTCTCCATTTCAGCACATCCAGGTGTGAATGGTGCCTTGGTCCCAAGTTTGGTGAAGGTTTTCGTATCATCCAATCCTACAATATCTTTGGAGCAACAGAGCTTCCTGTCATGTTTCATGTGTGTTCTCTTTCCTGCTATAGGAAAATAAAGGAGAGCGGTTTTGCTTGTGAAGGTGATCTTTATGACAATACATATTAAAATTGAACAGGAAAGATAATACAGTGGTTTATCATTCCCTCTGTAAAGGAGGGTAAAGTTTATGTTTAGTCATTCCTCTCTTTGCGTACAGGTTCTGACAGAAGTGTCTTCTCAGATGAATTCTCTGTGTAATCTAACTTCTTGTGAAAGTTTGTGATTGGTAGGAACTCATTGCAGAATAATCTTACTCAAAAAAGATTAGTAAAGGCCTCTGAATTTCAATAAAGATTTAGAAAATTTCTTTCCATAGCCTGTTTACCATAAAAAGAAATATGCTCCTATGCTTTGCAAAAAGATTTGGTGCATTTGATCTTTCAATGCATCCTCAGTAAATGAAAAGGTAGCATTTTGAAGGCATCACTGAAGTTTGTGCTACAGATGGCTTCAATGTTATGCAACCCAAATTCTCAATGTTTGTGTGCATTTCTTTGGAAATCTGTCCAGTGCTGATCATCTCAATTGTGGTTTGCTTTTTGGAATAAAAGATGAATTCTAGACTGGTTTTTAGTTGTTTGAATTCATTTCCCAAGCTCTTAGAAAACGGGTACAATTTCCAGTGGTTACCTTGAACTTCATTGCAGAAAGCTGAGATACTGACCATTAGCCCGATTCCCTAGGTCAGCACTACATTTACCAAGGTCTTAAGTGATAATCTGACAAGAAAAAAAGAATAGAACTCACAAATTGCATTGCAAAGCAACATACACCTAGGGTAGAGCTTGAAGATTTAAGAATTAATTTTTGGTAAGAGGAAGTTTAGAAAGTGTTTTGATATAATAATTTTATATGGCATTGAATTGTTTCATGTATGATGTGTGTTTTATGTGCAGTTAACTTAAATACAAAATATGGTTCATTGAATTTTATGACATAAATTTATGATCTAAATTTATACAGCTATCTTACCATTAGAGAATGTCAGAAAATCCACAGTATGTTAGGTTTATGTGTATCATTGAATAATATTTAAATTAAAGGCAATATAATGAGGCAAAACATTTTTTTGACAATTGAACTAAATAAATCAAAATACCTATACACTATTCCTTGAAATTCAGTTGATTTTAAGTAGAAATAGGCAAACTTTGCCTGAGAAGTACAAACTGCATTCTCCAGCAATATATATTACTTATAAAAGAAATATATACCATATCACATATGTAATCCAGAAGGAAATATTAGCATGATAACAAATTATTTCATTAAATCATAATATACAACCAGGCATGTTAGTGTATGCCTGTATTCTTAGATACTCAGGAGGCTGAGGCAGGAGGATTACAATTTCCAGGCCAGCCTCATCAGCTTAGTGAGGCCCTGTCTTAAAAAACGGCCTAAGAAACTTACCAAGACCCTGTCTCAAGATTGAAAATAAAGAAGGCTGAGGATGTAGCTAAGTGGTAAAGTGCCACTGGGTTCAATCCCCAGTGTCCTCTGCAGAAGTACTTCTAGTGTGTATTTCAATATAGAGTCCCCCTTGTAATGCCACCACCAAGTGAAAGTTAGAGATAGTAATTTTGACATGTGTTGGTGTGTGTTCTCAAATTTATATCATGCATTACTGCTTTTAAAATGAGATTGCATAGCCAGACCTGGTAGCCTAAACCTGTAATCCCAGCAAATCAGAAGGCCGAGCAGGAGATCACAGGTTTGAGGTTAGCTTTGGCATCTTAGCAAGATCCTGTCTCAGAATTAAAAACAGAAAGAGCTGGGAATGTGGCTTAGTGATAGAGTTCCCCTGGGTTCAATTCCCAGTACCAGAGAGAGAAAGAGAAGGTGGGAAGAGGGGAGGAGAGGGAGGCAGGGGGAGAGGAGGAGGGACAGAGTGAGAGAAACATTGCCTTGCCGTATACCACATCAAAAATTAATTTCCAATTTTAGACCTAAAGATCCTTATTGAAAATATAAGGAAATAAATAGGGACTTCAAAAAATCAGAATAAAAAGCATCTTTCTAACCAGGAATTGAAACTGCAATGATAAGATTTACTATCTAAAAAATAAAAATAAAAAATAAAATTAAGTATATGGCCAAGACCACCATAAATAAAATTACAAGCCACACACTGGGGAATATAACTATAATGTATATGACCAAAAAGAGGTAGGCTATTAACCAAGGAATCTCAGTTGTAAATTACTAAAACCCACTTGAACCAGTTGAAATAAAAATATATATATATATATATATATTCATTTGTGCATGTGCCTGCAGGTACAGCTGATTCAGGAGCTCAAACTGTGTAATCAAGGCATGATCTATTTTTCTATCATCTAGCTCCATTCATCCATCTATCAACCTGTAACATTTCCAAGTTTGCCTCATAACCAGGTAAAAAGGATTGCTGCTGATAATCCCAGGTTCATGTACTTAGCATCTCAGGAACCTCAGAGAAAAGCACATTATTGATTCCACCTGTCACCATAAAATATATTAGGGATAATTTTTATTGGTTCAGTGTGGGACACATAACCACATATAAACAAATCCTTATAGCTTCATAGACAGAGCCCTCTGATTGGCTGGGCATGAGTCACAAGCACATCTCAGGAACAGGGAAAGGCAGAATTAGCCCCTCCCAAAACAAAAGAAATAGATTCTTCATTAGATAGAAGAGTCCTGGAACTGAAAATTGGGGAAAGGAAAAGTGTTTGGGGCTCCTAAAATCCAGAACTGCCAGAAACTTCTAACCTTAATATGGACTAAGCTGTAACAAATAATGAAAAGGATCTCTTTAAAGATTAGATACTTGAATAGTTTTAGGAACTAAAATTAAATGTATTTTTATCACAACAATTCTAAGAATTTTCTTCTCAAAAATACTTGAACATTATAGGCAAGGATATTCACAATAAGATTATTTATGTGGTGAAAAATTGAAAACAATCTAAGTTTTCATCAATAGAAAATTGGTTAAATATGATAAATCCACACACAGCAATATCTTTCAGTCATCTAAAGAAATAGCTGTTTCTCCTGACATGAAAAGATGTCTATCAAATATATCTGTTTTGAAAATTATGTACTAGGTAATATAATCACATAATTCAAAATGTGTCAAAGAGCATAACATAAAAATTCTTTCTTTAACCCAAATTCTTCCTTTATTTCCCTCTCAGAGGTAACCACTGAGATCAATTCTTTTGTATTCTTTCAGGATAGCTTATGCACATATAAGCTAATATATAAATGTATTTATTTACTCTTTATATAATGTTATCCTAACATATATTCCTCTCTGCACCTTTCCATTCAACATTATGTCATTGAGGTAGTTCCTTATCAGTACCTTATTAGCTTATATTTTGTGGGAGATGGGTACTGAGGATTGAACTCAGGGGCACTCATCCACTGAGCCACAACCCCAGCCCTATATTGTATTTTTATTTAGAGACAGGGTCTTACTGAGTTGCCCAGTGCCTCCTCATTGTTGTGGCTGGCTTTGAACGCAAGACCCTCCTGTCTCAGGCTCCCAAGCTTCTGGGATTACAGGCGTGTACCACTACACCCAGTTTTACTTATATTTTTATAGTTACATATTATCCCATTAAGCAACATATGCAATTTATTTGTACAGCTTACAACTAATGGAATATTAACTTTACTTTTTTGATTCTGGGGATTGAATCCAGTGGCACTTTACCACTGAGTTACATCCCCAGTCCTTTTAACTTTTTATTTCTTAGTGCTGAGTCTGGTCTTGAACTTGCAATCCTCTCGTCTCAGCTTCCTGAGTTGCTGGGATCACAGGCATGTGCCACCATGCCCAGCTTGATGTGGAATTTTTTTTTTAATGTGAAGATTTTAAACTTTAAACTATAAAATTTATTGTTTTTTTATGTTTTTTGTTTTTATTACTAAACTTAGTAATTCCATCTTCACTCCCTAGATTACATAAATATTTACCTGGATTTCACTTACTTTGCATTTTAAACATTGAATCACTCAGAATTTTTTAGTATAGTGATGCATTCTGGTCTTTCTAGCATTTTGGGAAGTTGTGCCCTCAGTCATTATCTACTCAATTTTTACACCATCAACTTGAGATACCTACATTTATAATACATTAAATTATTGCATGGTTAGGTCTTTTTTTCTACCTTCTATTCTGTTCCATTAACTTGTCTATTTAATGCCAATACTGCACTGTTTTTTTTTTTAAACTACATTTCAAAATATCTGGATTATCAGTTCAAATTCATCACTTTTTTTGTGCAAACATTTTTTCTATTCTTATGCCTTTCTCTTCCTATAATAATTATTATACTTTTTGAAATTATTTTCTCTTTCCCCCACAAGCACACTGCTTTAGATTTTGGTCAGAACTACATTAGTTTGAAGAGAGTTGACATCCACACAATCAGGAACACTCTGTGTAGCGTCATTTGTGTAATTAAAATGATAATGATAATCCAGCCATCAGGGGACTCACTTCTGTAGGATCCAGACTGTTTACAGTGAAAACAATGGTCTGCATCTTATTTGGGAGTTATAATTATGGATATAATTGCTTTGGCACTTTCTCAAAAAGTATAATTTCAAGATCAAAGTTTTGCTCCATACAGCTCCATGGAACTTAGTGTCTTGCTCTGGAAGACTGGGTGCCAACTCTGCTGTCTCCCTGCTTTGTTCTCTCAGTCAGCATCAGGTTCTCCGTGGAATCAGCATTCTCAGCTGACTGTGGTGGCAAGCAGTGGATAGGCATGGAGGGGCAGGGTGGTGTTGTCACAAGAGAAGAGATGCCTCTGGAGAAGGGTCCAAGGAGTTCCCAGAGGGGAAGGAGTATTCAACCCAGGACCAGAGGGGTGCTTGGCATACATGACAGAAGAGAATTTCAGCATAAGCCAGACAAAGGCATAGACAGAGTATTTTTTAGGAAGTAGATACATATTCAAGGGAGAATGTGGGATATGTTGAGAGTGAGACCCCTCCTTGGGTTGGGGGTCTTAAATTTATAGAAGGGCTATAGTTAGGGGCCAGACTGGAGGTGGAACCAGGGTGAGAACTGCACAATTTCATGCCAGTTTCCCTGCACTTGTGTATTTTCCTCATTTTACAAGGGCATATTGCCCGTTCCTCAAGATTTACAACTGGGTTTCTTTCTGCATTTCAATGGCTCCTGGATGTTTCCTTTAAGACTCAATATTTCTCTGTCTTAATCCTAAATTGCTATCTCCTTTTAAACCTTTTTTTCTAGGGACTGTCCTTTCATGCTTGGAATCTCAGAGAGAAGAACTCTGCAATATCCCTTGCACGCCACAGGGATATGTGACCCTCGAGGAGCCCTCTGGCCTTGCGGTTGAACCCTAACACACCCATTGAGACAGCGCTTTCTTTTTACATATCCGACTTCATGCATCCTGATCCTGAGTCTGTACTCTCACAATCTGACTCTCATAAATTGTCTTACCTACTATACCTCCAGAAAGATGATTTGAAGATTTTATATGGTGTCTTTGTCTACCACAGATGACAGATGGAGTGGGGATGAGGAAGAACCAATCCTCAACCAAGGCCACCAGAGCTTTCTCCAGCCCAGGCTGGCCCAGCAGCAATGAGGGCTCCAGGCATCGTCCTGTGAGCTCAGGAGTTCAGGCGCTGAGGCCTGCAGTCGGCTTGCACAAGCGGGCCACAGGAACTGCCCATTCTGTAGTACTGACTATGATCTCTCCAGGCCCCTGCCTCTTCTCCACTAGTACCCCATCCCTACCAAACTTCTCAGTATTGTGGGTTGACCCCCTGTTGGAAAGCCTCAACCAAGGTCACATTTTAACACATGGAGTTCTTTGAGCAAGTGGACAATTCAACCTGGGCAGTTGCCACAGGGTACAGAGGAAAGGGGATAGGAGTTGATTCTTTCTCCTCCCAGAACCCAGAATCACGTCCAATAAAAAAAAAAAAAAAAACCAATGGCCAGATGATTTGCACAAAGTACCTCAGAGCATTATAGGACTGATAAAGCACCTGGTACAAGACTTGTCACAGAGCAGGGACTCAGAATGGTTGCTCTTATTTTAAATATCAGGACTGGAGTCTGCTCAGTACCATCCCAATTTTCCCTTTTCCTACACTGTGATGGTTGCTTTTCAGGGCACTATGGTTTGTTTCTTTAAATAGATTTTTAGATATAAACTCCATTTTTTTCTATTTAAATTATAAACACAATGACCTTTCCAAATGACTGAATGTCCATTGAGGATCTCTGACTTTTTCATTTGTTGTTTTCATTTCATTTGGGGGGAAGGGGAAGGATGTAGTGAGCATTGACAGAATTGATTCTTTCTATTCTCTCTGAGTTGTGCTTAGTTAAGCACTTCTATATTTTCAATAGAATTACGTTGACTACTAAGCAATGCAAATGTTGAGAATGCTATTAATCTCAGAAATCCGTATATTCACAAGAGTGCCAACTCATCTTGACTACCTCACCACTCTTTTCTAACATATTAGCAAGTTCTATTTTCCACTAATAATAAATGCTATGCGTCTGATCAGAAGATGGTTGCTGGTGACATATGGGTAGTGGGATCAAAGTATAAGGAGACAAATAGATGAGGATGGTGGGAACACAAGGTTAAGAGAATAATTCTACATAATGAGTCCCCTGTACTGATTCTCCACATGCTTTCTTTGCCAAAAAGCAACCTGCCTGCCGCCCCGCCTGGCCTGAGCTGGAGAGGAAATGTCACATTCCTCAACAAACTGAGGCAGCAGGCAGAAGGTAATGAATGATGAGGGTTGAGAAGATGAGGGATGGTTGTCAAAGAAAAGACAATGGGTTGCTAAGGGCTAAGCTCTGGTTCACACTTCCCAGCTCAACCTCCTGTACTTCCCAGTACAAGCAATTACCCGCTGTGCTGCTCCTTTGGTCCCCGACATCCAGAGAAGAAAGAGAAGGTGCGGGAGTCTGGGAGCCTAGAAAATAGCAAGATACCCTCTTCCTCACAGGCACCTAGTTCTGGGCCCACTTCTCTCTGGCGAAGTCTGTCTTTGTCCCTTTCTTAAATAAAACTTGTTTTTTACAGTTGCCTTGGCATTTCTCAGGTGTTCAATCTTCAACAAAAGGGCACTGAGGACCGTTCTTGGTCTCCAAGACCAGTATCCAAAAGGTTCATTCAGAATGACCTTTTGCGACATACCTCTGGAGAAACCTAGAGATTAGTTGATTTGCAGTGGAAGAAAGAACATAAAAATAACCATATTGAATAAAACTTTCCAACTAGCGTTCCCCAGAGATCACATTTTGTTGGCTTAGTTCAGTTCACCAGTGATCACTGAACATCTACTAGATGCCTGGCACCATGCTAGGTCCTTTGGAAAAGTTACAATGGGGAACATCCTATGACAGAAGTGTGCCCATCATGCCATAAACACACATATACACAACACAGAGCCAATTCTGGGCACTCAAGGAAGTCTTCCTAGAGTATATTATTCCCACCAGATAAAAGTGTTTCTGTTGTAAATGTACAGCAGAGAATTAACAGAAGATAAAACTACAGAAAGAGGGACACAACTATGGCCAGGGACATAAGATTCTCATACAACATGATGAAGAATTCATCAGCTGTTAAGGAGTCAGAAAAAGGTTATTAAGAGAAGAATAATATGATGGATATGTTGTTAAAAAGCTCCTGTGTGAGATCATACAAGGTTTAGAGATGAATTGATTGGGTTAGTAAAGCCTTAACCTAATTAGTGAATTAATCCCTTGATAGGGATTAACTGAGTGGTAACTGTAGGCAGGTAGGTTGTAGCTGGAAGAGGTGGGTCATGGGGGCCTGTCTTAGGGGTATATTTTTTGTAGTGGGGAGGAGTGCTGGTGTTCTATCTCTCTCTCCCCCCGCCCCCCGACCCTTCCTGGTGCCATGTCTGCAGCTGCTTTCCTCAGCCATACTCTCTGCCATGAAGTTCTGCCACACCTGGAGCCCCATTAAATGGAGCTGGCTTCTTATGGACTGAGACCTCTGAAATCATAAGGCCCCATATAAACTTTTCCTCCTCTAATTGTTCTTTTCAAGTCTTTTGG